AGAAATCTCATACAGACCCCATCAAATTTACAGATTGGATCTTTCTTTCTTTCTCTAATTAATAAATCTCAATACTTTTTAAAAAGCTTTTGCTTTGCAAATGAATTGGGATTCAAGTGAAACCGTGTTGGGTTCTTGCCTTTTTTTGTGTGATATTTTTATTGTCTTTTCAGAAATTAAAAAGTTTTTTTTTTTTTGGCTTTAAGGTTTTGCTTTTTGGGTTTGATGGCAGAGTTGACACTAAAAAGATAAAATGGAATCTTTTATTCAATCAAAACCTGAATGGCCTATGAATTTCTCCCTTCAATAATTCATTTCTTTGTATTTTATTCATTTTCTAATGTATTTTTCCTAATTTGACGAAGACAGGAAACAAATTTATCTTTAAAAAATTGCTAATTTCTATAAATTTTCTAGTATAGAAAACGAATGATCATATGGACCGTTGACAGTTGGAATGATTTTAAATTTTTGGAAATATCTAAAATGGCATGTGATTGTCAATTAAATAAATATCAATCATATATGTTCATACAAAAAAAAAATCGATCAAAAAATATATATTCATACAAAAAAAGTTTTAAAATTATTCGCTTATAATAAAATATCAGTTAAAAACTTTAAAATCATAATTTATATATTTTAACAAAGAAGTTCACAATTATAGTAATATCTTCTGGGGAAAAAAAAATCTCCTCCTTTCAGTTGTTTTATTATCTTTATATTTTTTTTAAATGGTAAATATTTCGTTGAAAATGAAAAAGTTTTAGATTTACAAAGTGAATTACAAACCTATGAAATGGTCTCACGGCAAAAAAGAATAAAAACATGAAAGCATAATCTAAACTTTTGTCTGGTCTGCACACTCGACATGATCCTGAAGATAAATGGACGGCGAAGTGATGACGATGTAAATCGTTCTTCCAATACAGGTGAAGAAATGAAGTTATCTTTATATGTTTCCCATAAAAGAGTTATGTGAAACAAACCATAAGCCCAAGTAATGAAAAAGTGGCTTATATAGTAGAGCAGGGCTTCTATTTTGTTATGGGCTTTAGCACATTAACTTTATTGGGCTTTAGTCCCACTATCATTAAATAATTAGCATTTAATAAGAATATACTCTATTTAAAAAAAAAAATGGGATGCTTGATGCTTCACGTTGATGCCACTGGCGCACCGTCAACGTCGCCGTAACGGAACCCCACCACTGACCCAAACGACCATCATCACCGTCATTTCAATCGTCACCGTTAAGCTTTAACATTTTGCATGGCAGTTTATAATTAGGAATATAAGTACGAGTTTGGTTATTATGGTTTTATTTCTTTTAAAAACTAAAATAGCTCATTATTATTTTTGATAAAGACTGATAAAAAAAATGAGCTCACTATCAGACGTTCAAAAAAAAAAAAAAACGAGTTCATTATCAGTTCTTTAATTTTCTTTTACAGTGTTATAAATTGATTAACATTAATCTTTTCGATTTCTTATAAACTCCAG